GGGGGTTGGAGGGGGGGAGGAATTGGTTTGCTCCGGGGGAGGTGGTAAACAAGATAAGCGTAAATTCCAGTTTATTCCAGGTGTAACCCTTGCGACTGCAAGTAATTTCCCTCCTTAAGTAGCGTAAATCCTGTGAAAACGGCCATTCAATAAAGCAGAAGTTGAAAGTAAAGGTTTCTGGACGCCATAACAGTCTCGTCTTAAAATGGTGAACTATGCCAGTTATTGCAAAACAACCCTGCCCCAGCGCCTGCTATCTCTGTTTGCTAGGCTGTCAGCCGTTGATAACGGGTTAACTCTTCGGTAGTTAAAGCTAGTTATTAGTCAATATTATTTAAAAATCTTTATTAAGCGGCAGAAAATATACACAAAGTACATTGTCAAAGCACCCTACGTTTGTTGAACTATACAGCAAATTCTGTCAAAACCCACCCAGGTCAGGCAAGCAAAAAATAAACAAAACCTAAACCATATTTTGCACTTCAGTTTTCTCTTAAAGTAAGGTTATACAGGTAGTATGTTCAGTTAAAGTAAATAGTCTAAGAACAACACACTGATTCTTTGGTTTAACTCTTGAACTTCAGAGACTTGTAATTCAAATTAATTTTCATGTTCTTAAGAAGCCAGGAAAGATTTGACCTGTGAAAACAACAAGTATATATATTTAATGCATGAGAAGAAAAGCTAAGTCATTAAGCTTGTTGTTTCCTTGGGAAATGGTTGGCTTGTATTTGCATATTCTCCAGTGCTGTTCTAATTTTACATATAATTCATGACTTAAAATGCTTTTCAGTATCAGATGGCTGTGAACTAAAGACTTGTGAGTACTAGGTAGAATTGAGTAAATCAGTTACTCAAAAATATCAATTACGAACAAGGTGGAGGAGATGGTTTGGTAGGAGGGCGCATATTTTCATCTTGCAGGAATAGTCTTTGCGGCAGTCGGGGGAAGGACAGTTAAAGTGTCCCAGTGAGTGAAATTTAAGTAATGTGACAGCTCTGCTTGAAGGGCTGGGGATGAGCCACATGCCTTTAATTATTAGGAAGGGGGTTTGTGTGGGTTGGTTGTTTTTTTTTGTTTTGTTTTTTTTTTTTTGCGCTGTGGACTGAGCACACTGCACATGGCTCCAGCAGGAGAACTCTGGGCATTTACTTCCCAAGTCTTGCCTTTCCTTAGAATTGGAAAACACCTTTTGGACTCAAGTGACCTATGTATTACCTTACCCCTTTGTTACCTCCAGTGGCTGTTGATTCTCCCTCACAACCCTGCTTGGAAGTGGTTTAGAGCTATGTACGAGGTTTTATCTCTGCATGTCAGATGTGTTGTGCTCTGTCCAGGAAGAGCCTAGATCCCTAGAATGTGAGGGGGCATAAAGAGCTCTAAGCTGACTGCACGGATTTTCTAAGGACGGCATGGCTGACAGGAATTGGACAGTGTCATTGGTATGGTCTTGATGGAGTAGTCTGGTTATTCCAGCTGTTGTGTACTTGCATGCCCCACAACTGCCCCTCTTTAAACACCCATTTTTGAATTGTGAGGATAAGCAGGTGATTTTAAAAGATTTTTAGGAAGGAAAGCAAAAGCTTTTTCTGCAGCTGTGTAGCTTCCTAAGTCTATGAAGGAGACTGACTGTACTAGCCCAAAACAACCACTTATTTGAGAATTTTAAGAATGTAAATTTATGTAATTAGAGCTGTTAGTGTTTCCTCACATCTGCTTTTCTTCTGTACTAATACTTACCTGATCTATCAGGTACTCCTGTTTAATCTTGTCATTCTTAAAATCCTCATTAACATCCAAAATGAGTATGGGAATCTCTTTAAGGTTCTCAAAGTCAACTCTGTTGAATGGAAGAACATGATGCTAGTAAAAAATGGTAAAAAGTACTGTGTATAACACAGTCTGGCTCTGGTTCCTTTCCAAGTTGTCCTAAGGGTGCAGCATTACTCAGATTAGCATGTGTGCCCACGATCTTAATGCTGATGCCCGTGACTTAATCATAAAGTCCAAGTCAAGTCTGTCCTTAATTGCTCTTGTGTAACCCAGTCAACATTGTATCACTGTAACTTCATTGTATTTTGCAAATTTGGCCTTGAATATCTTTTTATTGTACAAGTAATGGGGTATAGTTCATGCTTCTTAACTTAATTTCCTTTACCTTCATTCTTTTTGTTACGGAATGAATTATCGAGAATATGATGTTGATAAGAGGGAGTATTTTTAAAAATATCACTTGTCCTCTGTCTCACCAACCCCTTTCTAGTTAACTGCTAATCCGTTCACTAAGATGCAGTTTTCAAGCTTGCTTTCATGGGGATGACCTCTTTAACACATTATAATGACTGGTATTTAAAATGACTTGGAGATAAGCAAGAGACCACTTTGGATACACTTTAAGAGCAGGTGGGAGTGGTAGCAGTGCAAATTGATGTATTCTGTTAAAGCAGTAGGTATTATCTCTTCTTAGTGTGAAAAACATTTCTAAAATGCACTGTGTGCTGAACAACATGCTTAACTTTGGTCTGCGGACTTAAGTGTTCCTCTGAAAAATACAGGAGATGCTTGGCCACAATTCTGGAATGAGTACACAATGCAAACGTTCCCACTGATGCAGTGCTTGTCTTCTAAGCATTTGGGTCATCCTACATAAACTTAAGAAAGTAGATATGTGACTGATAATATACTTTTCTTGGAATTGTTGTGATGCCCACTCAGAAGAGTATTTCAGGCTCCTGGGAGAAAAAAAATCTCAAGTCTGCTTTCACATTTTAAGATTGCTTAGATGGGAAAGCCAGTAAAGTCAGTAAGGAAGTTGTGGGAAAGATATGCAGACTGGCCAAAAGCCTTTCTGTTCAGCTTTTTTTAAGCTATGATTAATATTTAAACCTGGCTGAAATACAGTCATTCTAGTTAAGGGTGGTTGGGACCTTGCCCTCCCTTACAGTGGAACTGGAAGCTGTTCAGTAGATAACTCGGGTGGTGATCAGTCACTGAACACAATCTCAACTCTGTCCTATGCCTGTGTACTTCCAGTTAACAAAAATCCTTGTTGGAGTTAGAACTGTAGAGCTTTCTAGTTTAAGCTAACGCTTTAAATTAATTCCCATCTCTTCCCTGCCAAAAAGTGACCTTCCCTCTGTAAACAGTCGAGGGTAATTGTATCTGTGCCAGGAAGCCTGGACTGGACCTAAACATAAATCCTTCCAGCCGTGCCTGGGTGAAGCTAGACTTAAACCTAGTTTTAACCCTAAATAACTTTAGCTTAAGGTAGGACAGAACCTTGCCTACAAGTTGAAACTTGCCTACAGAAAAGGAGTTCATACCTCATGGTCCTTTCGTAAAGCCAGGTTTCATGTTTGTAGTGGAGGTTTTCCAAATACTCAAGTTCAATTCCTTGTTCCTCTTCTCTTCCCCTTGTCTGGAGCCTTTCCATGCATTTCTGGGGGTGGGAAAAATACAAGCCTGGATATTAATCATGTGTTGAAGGCTAAATCAGGTAAACAGATCAAGTGGCCCTTGAATCAGAAGGACTAATGCTAGACATTAGTGGGCATTAATTTTAGATGCTTGGCTGAACATAAACAAGTTTAGCTTTTCTTACCAACTTGAGACATTTCAGTGAAATACTAGTCGTTCTTATTAAAAATTTTAACTTCAGCTCAGGACTGAATGGGAAGGGAAGTTGAACTTCATTCAAAAATTTGATTTCAGCCTTGGATTCTTAATGAGAGTGGTGGCTGCTAGCAACTGTAGTGTTTGCTGACCACACCAGAGCAGCTTAGAAGGGAGGGTATGTAATTTGGTCTTGAAATGAAGTTGAAATTTACAGTCGGCTTCTGCTCATGTTGGGGGGGGGGGGGGGG